TTTAAGTGTATGACTTTTTACCATATATTTATACATCACAACAGCAGGTGTCAAGGACTGTGTGGCAGTCGTAAAAAATTGTCCCGTACTTCATTACAGTACAGTAAATTTGATAGGGAGTATTCGTTTTATTCATCGTTTGTATTTTTTATTTATTGTACTGGGACTTGTGCTTGGGCTGAATGAAATAGATTTAGCTCATTTGCAAGGCACAGAAATTGTCTTAGGAGTTAATTTATTGTAGTATGAAATGATAGTGAATAAAAGATTAATGCTATAAACAGTATATAGAAGCTTTTACATTATTCTTGCTTATATCGTCAAAAAAGTCCAAATCGTCCTACAAAACTTACTCTGTTGATTGTTTAACAGTTATTCATACTTCCAAGCTTGTAATCTCATTATAATTGCATTTAAGACCCCATTAGCTTTGCAAAAATGTATTTATATCATATTTTTCATTTTGAATAATATAACTGAAAATGTTTGTTTGCTTTGTGCTGGTTTTTTCATGGAACAGTCACATTAGAAATAATAAGAAATTAAATGTAGCAAATGGTCGGCGTGTTGAAAAAAAACGATTGTACACGTTATGAATATATTTACACGAGCAGCAGATAGTATCTTAGAAACTTTACTTAAAGTTGCGTGCACAACACTTTAGACCTATTATGTCCTCTGTTTATATTATTGAACATGGAATATTGAAAAAAAGTATCTAATCTCTTACCCTCGGTGCGTGCTCATCGCGAAGACGCGAAGAAGGCTCAGTATAAGACCACGGCAAAAAATTTGCAGCTTGGCGAGTAAACTTCCTAGTACTTCGGTACACATCGTCCTCGTCTTCGACTGAAGATCAGCTGCCGATGTCCTGACAAAATCCAAGGAGAGTGGCCATACAAAGTAGGCAAGTGCGACAAGGAAAGTGAGCTAGGGTAAGTGAGACCTTTGCACAAAGAGTGACGGGTTGAAAGGCAGGCCCTTCGATGGCATTACAGCCCTTTTCAGGGCTACAACTTTTTCATATTGTCTCAAGTTACTGTAAATTTAGGTTTTAATTGTCCGCTTTAAAAAACCTACTGTGGACTCAAAATTATTACTCTGTGAAATTGTATCGATGTAAATCATCACCAATTCGTGATTCAAAAATAATCCTTTAAGGGCATAGCAGATGACATGTCCGGGGTCCGTGCTCGACAGCAAAATCTGCTTTTGTGCTGCTTAACGGGGGATGGACCTTTACATACATACATACATGCACGCACGCACGCACGCACGCAAACATACATACATACATACATACATACATACATACATACGACACTTCATCCAAATGTTTCATTTCCTTTTTATACAGTCAACGTACTATAGAATGTTGTATTATACATATAGGTATCATACTTTGGTATAGAATTCATCCAAGCATTTACATAAATGCATGATTAACATATACTGTCGGTTTTATTTGCTATATCTGGCTGACAAATAACGTAACTTGTCTGGAAGTATGTGATTTTGCTTTCTATCTCTAGTCACTTTATAGTTATAGTATTTGAATATGTAACGAATGAATTAATGTTACTGTATTGTTCATGTTTAGATATCTCAACACAAATAAGAAAGTATCCCCCTTTTGACTGCTGGTGACAAATAAATACATTGTATATCCATGCAAACAGTGCAGACCAAAGTCCGTGCGGTTTTATTATGGTCTGCACTGTTCGCTATTCAGCCAGTATATACCTATCATTAGATGATCCTTGTATCCTTGAAACATGATGAATAGTTATACAAAGATTGAAGGACAAGCAAATCCATTTACGATATTTGACATGGTAAAGGTTAAATTATATGTTATCACAATTTGCTTATAACAGACACATAGTTTCATTTAAAATAAAAAAGGATGCGTATATGTACTTAAGCATTCTGTTAAGAATTTAAAAAACAATTATATAAAAAACACGAAGAGCGGAAAAATAACGGGTGAATTACAATTGTTACAGCCTTGTTTTTATTGAGCCTGGTCATAGAATGTACTGGAAAGTGCCAGCTATCGTCCACGTCCTCTAGTACCGACTTTATCCTTGGAACGAATTAGCAATAATGTAATTCGTTTTTGAAGTTGAACAGAACAAACTTAGGCCACTAAAAAGACTATTACTAATGGGAAAAGTTCAATCATAAATCACTGTAATTTGATTATCATCCGATATCATCAAAAAGCTGTTAAAATAAGTATGATAAGATATTAGTAAAAATATTTTGTGAGATAATAGGTTGGTCATTGGACTTTGATACTATCATTATTTATCAATTTTACATTACATTAAACTGTAAATAACACAAACTTTTACTTTCCAAATGTTTTGAAGTACTTAATGAAAATATTATAAATTCACTTATTTTCATGCCGTTACCTACAAATATATAAACTGTTATTTTTTATTAAACAATCAGACTTGCACTATGACTACAAAGTAAGCTTTTCAAATATGCTTTGCTAATTTACATAACTCTAAAACGCAGTCAAGATAATTTATTAATCTTATAAAGATATCTCCTACGTCTATGCATTAATATATTTTAATAAATTTATTTTGTGTGGGATGTTACGTCCCACCAAAACTGTAAATGTGATTTGAAGACTTCCCAGCTTAACTTGATGGAATCAAGCAGAACTCAGGTACCCCTTTATTAGTTCAGGCACGAGCGGCTACCTTAATAGAACCACTGAAGTTCGGAAAGCAAGCTGGATGCCTCTTAATCTATTTAAATCCATAGTGTCTACTTAGCCTGATATTATTAAAAGCATAATATAGACCTATGAATAAGTCGAGACAATTCCCTTGATCTGTTTGTCAAAAAAAAGCTTCCACAAATTTCTTTGAAAGTTAATCGTATGTTTCCATCAATGTTTAATTATCACACTTCCCAAAACAATCACACAGATCTAAAGTTATCGCTGATTGAGCTTTTGTGTATTGTGATTTGGTACACCTTGCGCGTTGCGTTGTCGATAGCGACAAAACAACCTGTATCATTATCGCCATTTCGTCTTGTCGCCAGCGAAACGCGCCGAACGGAGCGTTGTCGCACTGTCGTCTTTTCATCTTGTCGCTAGTAAAGCACGCCAAACGGCGTGTTGTCGTGCGGTGCATTGTCGCGATGTCGTCCTGTCGCTTGACTTATACATATATATATATATATGTGCAAATAGCCAATCCTTCGATTTGAGCCGAGCGACAATGTGACATCGCAACAACACGCCGCACGACAAAGCGCCGTTTGGCGTGCATCGCTAGCGACGGGACGACTAGACGAAAGTCCGACAACTCGTCGTTTTGTGCTGCCGCTAACGACAACATGACGCACAAAAGTGTTCCAAATTAGCCACCATATTTGTGCGATTTACACGTCACTGGATTTACGCGCGATTTGCAAATCATTGGATGTAACGTTTTACTCAAGCTTCAAACAAATCTTCTCACAATCAAACAATTTAAAGAGTTGAGATTGAAAATGAAGTTTGACCTCAAGTGTAACTCATGACAACATTTTCTCAGTCAGTTCAATAATCATCAAAACAATTTTTAACGATGCATGAAATATGGTGATACTTTAACAGATAAGCGATATTGACAGAGATAACTGACATGGTTTCGCCATACCGTCTGCACATGTAAATATCGTATACATTTTACGTAAGTTGAATAACTCTCAATATACAAGTATTTGAAATGGTTCTGAAGAAACAAATTGAATTATCATATACATGAACATACAAACGTTCTTACAAGACGTCCTATTCTATAATTATTTACGATCGTTATCTTTTAACCACACAATTTATTTTGTAATTATCGTATATTTTGTATCAGTATAACCCATGTCGATGAATACTGTAGATTAAACCTCATAATGCCACAAAAATACTCACTAAACAATAACCACATATTATTTTCCTTACATCAAAATTACTGACCGAATGAATATTGCATTTCGACACTGGGATTTGTCAGTGAAATTAAATATAACAAAAATAATCTCATACTGTCGCATAATTATTGGAAATTTTTATATCATGTTTTCTATGTCGTGAAGAAATTTAGATCAAGCGTTTTATTGCATACCATTTCCAATACTTGTATGTTTAGCGGCATTTATATTTTATCCCGTGACATACGGATCGACACAAAGTGCAAAACAGGGTATTTCAGGTACGGTCTTCTTAATCAAACGAAAGAAACATCATATCTTTGTTTTATTTATTCCTATACAATATAATGAACACAAATGAAAACTTTTAACTTGTTATAAAAATCAAAGCAAGAAATAAAATAAGAATAATGGTGGTAACATACTCAAATTAAAAAACAACATAATTCTTCAATGTTACAAAGAATTCGAAAATAAACGCTAATAATAATTTGTTTATTTTGAAAGCTCGGCTTTGTAAACTATAAAATAAAAGATGAAATTGTAATAATCAAATATGTGTTAAAAATATCTTCATGATATATTAAATTGCAAATATCAAACATGCAAGTAAAAAACCTTGTAAAATAAATCACATAAAATTAAACAAAAGGATTCCCACTTACGACATGCAATTTTCCAAGAATCAGAAAATATTTGTAAATACGGAACATAATTGTGTCGCACTATTGTTGTCTTTATTTCTCTGTAACGTAATGATTCTGATACAACTGTTTGCAAATTATATTCAGTAAAAAAAATTGCAGTATATTTCAATATAATTTATAACGTTAAATTAACGGTATTATTGCTTTTACGAAACATTTATCTTTGTGACAATTCTTATTAATCTTTTTCGTAGAGTGTATTTAGTGCCTCAATAAAGATAAACATGAAGATTGTATGAAAGATAAATTTACACTGTTAACTTTATCTCACGTTGGCACAGACAATAATCAAATTCACGAACAACAGTCATACAATTGAATACGCAGGTTAATTTCCTGACACAACCCTAAATGTTACTTTAGTTCAAATATCTTAATGAAATTGCCGTCCATGGAGTTCCGTAATTCACGAATGAACATTTTATTTTGATCTTCAGAAATGTAGATATTAATTGGCTTCAATACATGCTGCAAATGGAAAGGCAGAATTTCTTCGCTACCAGGTACACTTACGCCGATCGAATCGCTTTTCATTTGATAACAAACAACAGCACATCCACAGTTTGTTACTGTTAAGCCTAATGGTTTATCATTATTCTCGGTTTTATTTTGAGATATTAGTTTTCCCTGGAGTGTAAATTTATACACGGCACCGCCCTCCGTGTCAGACACGAACATATATTCATTGTCTGTACTCAGATTTACATATCTTGGATATTTTATCATGCTTGTATCTCTAACCTCATGGAGGATATGACCTTCCATGTCCAACACCTGAACAGCGGGAGGTTTAGTAAAGGCCACTGCCAATATACCATTGCGATGATCTATTCCAGCACATCTTTTCCTGACATCCAGACTGTGACTTTCAGTCAAACCGTTATGCGTATTCACAAAAACGATTTTGCCTTTATTTAGTAAACATGTTGCAGCAGATGATGAACTGATAGTGGTTATGTCAAATGGAAAATCTGACAATTTCAATGCTGAGGTAACTTTATTATCTCTGTAATTTAAAACTTTTAACGATTTGTTGGTGGCGTCTGCTAACAGAATTTCAGAATCAGATAATATCACAAATCCTGTAATAGAACAATTTCTTTCATTTTCTGCCTGGCAATTTACTTTATTAACAAAATGTGCCTTCATGTCATTAATACATTTCTTGCATTGCCCTGAAAATGTTTTTACGTGTGTTACAAGACTGCCAAGGGGTGTGTTATTTTTCTTCATGGTGTCAAAATCTTCAGATAATTTAAAATTTAAAGTGTTTATCTGACTCTTGGTTGAAATGGTTTCATTTATTTTTTGACATTTTTCCAATTTTCCCTGTACACGTTTAGATGTCACAAACAAATTGTTGACCTTGTCTTTGCACTGATCCAATTTTCTTTGAAATTCTTTCATTTCATCAGATAATGCCTCGCACTGATCTTGAAGCTTTTTCTGTGATGATACATCTCTATCATTCATTTCGTCAACTTTTTGTAAAAGGTCTGCTTCCATTTTGTCTAGATAATCATCCATTTCTTTACGAAATAGCTTAATTTCTTTGACGACCTCGGTCTTTATTTCATCCGCTGCTTTCAAACTGCATTTTATTTCTTCTTTACATGAAGCAAGGTTTTTCCTGAGGTTATCAATTCTATGTTTAATTAAAACGAGGTCGACACTGTTGTCATAGTTACTAGATACATCTGAAACGAGCTGAACCTTGCAAGAGGTATGTTGAAGTACCATACAATCTCCACAACCAACGCTGTCGTGCTCTTGACAATAAAACTTTACTATTTCGTTTACATGAACATCACAGAGTTCAGTGCACGGGTCGCTTTGTGTCTGATATGTCGGCATTTCATCTTTGGATTTGATCACGTGATTTGTAGTAACAGCCAACTTCCGGTGTGCCTTGATACATGATGAACATATAAACTCGTTACAATTCTCACAATAGCCGTCTGCTTGTGCAGTATCACCGTCACGCTGACATGGCTGGCATGATATAGCAGACGTTTCCTTACGTCCCGAGACTTCCATTTCAAAGTGAAAAGACCTACTTGGAAACGAAATGTCCGATCTTTTGACTACACATACACGTATTTACACAGATAAAAATTATTAACACATCAATACGGTATGTAAAATTGCACCAATTTCTGATTATTCTATTTTTATCATTATAATTATATCACATGTATTTCTGCAATAACATTAAAGTGTGACCGTGTCTATCGCGTACACAAAAAAACGTCGTGTCTCGACATATGCATCTGTCATATTGACATTCAATAAGTACACATAAAGTCAATCAAACACCAACAACAACAACTTCCTTTCATAAGATATGAATGAACTCAATAAAGGGCGTCGCCCTTCGGTGCGGAGGCCAACAAGTTTGGTCTTGTAACAATGCCGTAAATGCTTTCATTTAAACTTAGCTTTATTTAATCCGTCTATATGATATTTTATGGTTTCACAGCTTAAACCCAAAGTTTCAACCACTTAAACTTTTAAATCATTAAGTTAACATTTTTCCGAAAATAAGATAAAGGAAGTAAAATTGAACTGGGTTATTATTTGGTACGCAAGGAAAGGGAGATCAATCCAAAATGCTTTAAAACTACCCCAAATATTGCCAATGTTTGCAAAGAAAGATAATTATAGTAACATAATTATATTGATATATTGGTACAGACTTCAATAGAATATGAATACATAAAAATATCATTATGTTCTCCATATTTTTACATTTTTTAAATGCGGTATATGAAACATTACACCGTTATTTAAAAGCAGTACTGTGTATCTAGTGTGGAATATATCAATCTGCACCCGCGGAATGTTCATTTTAATATTGTCTATTACGAAAATCCAACTTCAAATATTTTTTGATAAAACATATTAATGTGCTTTGATGACTTTCTTAAAACGTTTAAATCGGTTGTCATTTTTCATAAGAATATTTTTTCATATCTTGATAGGTACTGTATAAAAAATAAAAATAAAAGAAATATGTCAGTTTCCAATAAAGCAGATTAATTCTAAATGTCCTATAATAGCAATTAAATATGTTGATTCACAGAAATTTTTATTTCGTTTTCTTATAAAAGTTTTGTTTGTAACACAAGATAGACATATCTCTTTAATTATGTTTCCAGGCAAGTCCAAAGCACACACTTTATGAAAGCAACATAGTTGAGAAGCTGATAAATATTTTAACTCTATACAGTCATAGCTTCACTCACTTTATTTAAAAATGTTGCAATGATTTATTCATTCAAAACGCACGAGCGTTTAAAAATTTCGTTCCTTTCAAGTTTAAGATATTCCCCCGTCTATTTTCTAATGCTTTCTCAGATGTTTTTTATGAAATATGTGAGATTTTAGTTTGAGGATGTCATGTTCCTCAGCTGTTTTTAGTTTCGAATTAGTTGTCATATGCAAACATTTAACTATCTGGTTGTTTGGTTATAAGTATTACCACATTATCCCAAGTATGTGGAGGGGGTTATAAGATTATTCAGCGTTAGTATTTGTAACGTATTGTGCATGTATACAATGCACTTGTAACAACATAAGGCTCAAAATAGATAAAAGATATAACTAAATTTTAAGAGGCATGGGAAATGTTTCAACATCTTGAATCTTAAACATTTATGTACACATGTTTTCGTTGAAGAGAAAATATAACCCTCGTTACCGCCATTAGGCGGGCACCTTCGAGACGGAGACGGATATTCCGGTATGTAACGTGACAAATGACAAGTTATTTTTCTTGAGTAGCAAGCGTCTAGACGGACAAACGTAACTTACACGGTCTTATAATACAGTATACTCCAGTTATACGTAATACTCATCATTGTTACACGACCCGCAGTTTTTTTCTTTTGATCATAGAAGGACCGAAAGTTTTTGTAAATATGCAATAAAATCACTGTTTTGACGATCTATTTTAAAACAAGTGACTTAACCATTAAACCGAAATAAGTACGGAAACAAATCAGGCACAATTACGAGGTTTATTCAAAAAGTTTTGTTACCAATGGTCTTCCGTAGCGAAATCGACGGTTTTGCTTCAATAAACATATACATTAATGTACATAAATATTCACACTATATAAGCACGAAAAACACGTGCAAATCGATGCAATAATGACAAAATTATTCAGTTTTGAAGTAGTGTCACTAGTATACACTGGCCATATTTTGGAAATAACAATGAAACGACATTACAAAGTTGAAGTACGCACTTATATTAAAAGTCGCACTGCTTTGCATGTATCTCCAAAAGACATTTATAATGAGCTGAATGGTATTTATGGACATTCGTGGTATCATTTATGACAGTTTGTAGATGGGCGAAAAAATTTAAAGGTGGCCTTTCTGTGATTAAAGATGGTCATCGAAGGTGACGTCCGAAGTCGTCAGTGACTGATAAACATGTGGCTGCTGTGAAAGCATTGGTGGAAGAATATGGCCGTTATACAGTAAAAGATATGGCTAATAGCGTTGGCATTTCAGAAGGAAGTGTTCATGAAATTCTGTTAAAAAAACTTGGACTGAAAAAGGTTTGTGCACGTTGGGTGCCCTATTTACTGACCAATGACCAGAAAAAAATGAGAGTCATGTGTTCAAAAAAACTCCTTAAAGAGTTCAAAACATTTGACAGCAGGACTATTTCTAATATGTTAACTGGAGATGAGACTTGGGTCTACATGTTTGAGCCACAAAGGAGGGGTGATAATAAACAATGGAGAGGACAAAATCAAAAACGTCCAGTAGTGGCTAAACGGCAGAAAAACTCAAAGAAAGTTCTGTACACCATTTTTTTCAATCATCTTGGTCCAGTTATTCAGATACCATCACAATCTGTAAAAACAATCACTGGAACATATTATAAGAACGTTGTGCTAAAAAGGATAAAAAAGTTTTATAAAAAAAAACGTTCAAGTACTGGATTAAGGGGAGTAAATTTACTACATGATAATGCCCCCGCGCATAAAAGCAGGGGGGTTGTTAACTTTCTCGCTGAAGAAAAGGTAAATGTGTTAAGCCACCCCCCTTATTCGCCGGATTTAAGTCCATGTGACTTTTTTATATTTCCCCGGCTAAAAAAGATGGTGTCTGGACGTCGGTATACCACCAGAAGCGGACTTGGAAGTGCTGTATATCAGTGTTTGAGACTGATACCAAGGGCAGACTACTCTGATGCATTTAGACAGTGGAAATTTCGATTACAAAAGTGTATTTCTGTAGGTGGTGAATATTTTGAAGGGATGAAATAAACCATTTTCGTATATATTTTCTTTATATTGTTTTTAATACCCGATAACAGAACTTTTTGAAGAACCCTCGTATTAAACTCGATATCATTAGAATCGATTGGATGCGCAATTCCTCACACAGTGATTTTATATAGCTATAAAATCACTGTTGCGAAAACATTATTTCTTAAGCCGTAAGTTCATGAAAAGCAAAAAATGTGCGTATTACTATATATTTTAAAGAATAAGGTTAGACTTAAATACCGTAACCGTTCTGTGTATTCATACTATTGTGTCCGAAGACTTACGGAAAGGGCCGAAAAGTTGCGATTGACACAAAATCTGACATGTAAAGATTTATGGTGGTTGATTTACACCGTGTCGTATTTTCGCTTCTTCGCCTAAAAATGCGAAAACACGAAGGGACGACAAAATTGTGTTTTCGCTTTATTTGGAGGCAAAGAAGCGAAAACACGACATGAAGGTCAATTATGCCGAGGGAAAGTGATAACTGTTATACATTATGCAACGAAACTTATTACTTCTGAAAGGACAATAATTTATCAAAAGTATATATATATCTATGAAAGTATACAATGACAATTTTAATATTGACTAAAAAAATAGTAATAACCAAAACGTAAGATGTATTTTTATCGTCCAAATATATACGAGTATTCCGCTATTAATTAATTAAAATGTCAGGATCACCACCGTCAGCTTAAAAATATGTGTTAATTCTTCCGATTAGTACTCTTCATTTTCATCCTCTGCTTCGTAAGTGGAATCGATACCAACTTCTTCGTAATCTTTTTCGAGGACAGCGAGGTCTTCCCTCGCCTCGGCGAATTCACCCTCCTCCATCCCTTCGCCTACATACCTAGAAAATGAATGTGGAAATGCAATAACTATGGTTACAGAAGTAGCATTGTACAAATGTCCGTATAGTTCATGCATATAGGTAGTTTTTACATGCAAATTTCTTTGATTTTAATAATGTTGTTTGCATAGAGTACATAAAACAAAGAATTGTGCGTATGTTTACAAATTTTAAAATTAAGATAAAAGCTTGAAATTAAAAATAGTAAAAAACAACGTCATCGTGTTCATGTTTCACTTCTTGACTATGAAAATGCTTCCAAAATTACTTCCGTCGCGATTAAAGAAAGTCAAGATTATACGCAAACAGTGTCACACTTCCGAGGGAGGACCAAGTATGTTTAAATTTAACATTAAATAAAAAGAATTATCTCTAATTGCTGATGTTGAATACACTAATCTCTTACCAGTGGACGAACGCTCTCTTGGCGTACATAAGGTCGAACTTGTGGTCCAGTCTAGACCAAGCTTCGGCTATGGCAGTTGTATTACTCAACATGCAGACAGCTCTTGGTACTTTGGCAAGGTCTCCACCGGGAACCACAGTAGGTGGCTGGTAGTTAATGCCTATTTTAAAACCAGTCGGACACCAGTCAACAAACTGGATACTTCTCTTCGTCTTTATTGCGGCGATTGCGGCGTTGACATCTTTAGGAACCACGTCACCTCTGTACAGCATACAACACGCCATGTACTTTCCTAGCCGAGGATCACATTTCACCATTTGGTTTGCTGGTTCGAAACATTCGTTAGCAATCTGGGAAACTGAAAGCTGTTCATTATAAGCCTTCTCAGCTGATATGATCGGGGAGTATGTCGTCAACAGGAAATGGATTCTTGGAAAAGGAACCAAGTTCGTCTGTAACTCTGTTAAATCAAGGTTTAGAGCTCCATCAAATCTTAGCGAGGCAGTGATTGAACTTACAATCTGACCAATCAATCGGTTCAGATTTAAATACGAGGGGCGCTCCACGTCAAGTCTCTTATTGCAGATGTCAAAGGTCGCCTCATTATCTACCATGAACGCGCAGTCTGTGTGTTCTAAAGTTGTATGGGTGGTGAGGACGGCATTATAGGGCTCCACGACAGCTGTTGCCACCTTTGGAGCCGGATACACGGCAAACTCTAGCTTACATTTCTTCCCGTAGTCCACGCTAAGTCTTTCCAAAAGCAAAGATGTAAATCCAGACCCTGTGCCTCCGCCGAAGCTGTGGAACACAAGGAATCCTTGCAGACCCGTGCATTGATCGGTCATCTTACGAAGTCGGTCAAGGACTTCGTCGATAAGCTCCTTACCTACGGTAAAATGACCTCTAGCGTAGTTGTTAGCAGCGTCTTCTTTTCCGGTTATAAGTTGCTCCGGATGATATAGCTGCCTATATTTACCAACACGGACCTCGTCTGCAGAATAAAATCATCTCTTTTAAAAGTTAACATACATTGATTGTTGAACATATACTAAAACTATATTTGCAAAATGATAATTGTAATAATAATTGATTCTAAAAAAGTCTTTTTAGTTTGTTCTCCCTATCAAAAGGTTGGTTGAAGGCTACTTATGTGTGCCAAAAGTCTTGTAGAAATAAATTCCTTGTTTGAAAAATAAACTTGGAAAAATAGAACATTAATTCATTCATAAAAAATATGTAAATTTGTTGTAATTTTTTAGGTCCAATATCAATTATTATTACATGTACAAAAAATTAGTACACATTATGAAGAAATGATTTGATTCGTAGCGAAGCAAAGGGAGACAACTGTGTAGGAGTTTGATGTTTAGTTAATGAAACAGATTCAAGTGTTTTTTTTATAAAGTATATGTACTCATAGAAAAGTATTTATCATTGGTTTCGTTATTCCCTTTTTTCGTTCTGAAACAAAACATAATGTCGGCTAAACTTGTTACTTTTTGACCAGTGGCAAACATTGCTACATGTAATTTCCTGATATACATTGAGATTTGCGGACCAATTGAGAGATTTATACGCAGAAAGAGATATTTACCAACGACAGTAGGCTCGAGGTCAACAAAAAGTGACCTCGGCACGTGTTTCCCTGAACCAGTCTCGCTAAAGAAAGTGTTGAACGAGTCGTCTCCACTACCTACAGTCGTATCACTGGGCATGCGCCCATCGGGCTGGATCCCGTGTTCCAAACAGTATAACTCCCAACATGCATTGCCCATCTGGACCCCGGCTTGGCCGACATGTATGCTGATTACTTCGCGCTGTACATAATAATTAAAAAAAGTTTTTTTTAATATAAATTCAAAACTCAAGATTATTCCAGTGACTGAATTTCAATTATTGGTCAACATTACAAGTCTAACGTCTTAAGGCAACCCTTATATATGTTGTGTTATTATTCAAATATAGTATGTTGAAATTTGGTGATTCATAAAATTGTTCGCAATTATTTGTTAATAAGTTGTTTTTTAGAAAAAGAAATGACTTTTCCATGCAAGTTTATAAGTAAGTAAGAGATTCATTGCTGCCACGAATACCAATCAAAGGTGATAGGAAATGACTATTAAACTCTATATCATGAAGAAATATCATCATAACATTGTCAAAAGTAGTATCCCATTGTAACTATATCAATAATGAAGTAACAAAATTACTTAAACAAAAACAAAACGTGTTGTGAACATCCAAATTATGTTATTTGCATATTTTATTTTAGTTGATGTGGGAGGGGTTAGGGGAGGGGGTAAGAGGGAGTCTCCGGAGGGATTCTGGACACCTTCAACCTATATTTTGCACTGTTATCTGCCTAATGCATATCTCGTACAATGTAATACAATTAGTACATGTAATGACATAATCTAGTGTCATATGAGTTAAAGCATATAAATACTAGTACATGGTATCAGTATCCTGCTTTATGCTTGTTATCAGCATTGATAAATTTTGGACATTGTTCCTTACCCATGATAATATATATCATGAATAATGATAATGTCAGCTAAATAGATAATAACATCTAGGTCAATGACTTAAGGATCAAAAATGTTTATATACTACTGTCTGAATGCATATTTAAATTGGCTGAAATAAATGAATGAATGAATGAATGAATGAATGAATGAATGAATGATCCAATAAAGGAAATAACGAACGAATAAATCAATGAACCAATCTATAAACAAATTAATCAATTAGAATCCTTTGATATTTTTCTAATTAGTAAATATATTCATTGTAATTGTTTTGATTTGACTTTTTATTCAGGAAAGGCGGTAAGGTGGTCATTTTTTACGAATCAAGGTGGTCAATTTCTACGAACAATGGATAAATAAACAATAAAATTTAAACAACGCTCAGACTGATTTTATTTTTTAAATATATTTTTCTTACAATTGAATATTTTTATAGATAGATTTCATTATCAGACGTGTCAGAGGTATGTCACTTTTTTATAGAGGAATGTGCAGTTGCCCTGTAACGAGTACATCTAAGTCAATTCTTTAACTCCAAAATATTTTTGTCCTGGCTTCTAGAGGGGAAACACTGCGTATATCTCAATCTTGGTACAATATTTTTAGAGTACATATACATTGTAATAATAATAATGCAACTGAAAACTCCACTCCACCCACATCAAAATGCCTACATAGAAACAAAACTTATCTACAAAATAAGGAAAATAACTTGAGTTGACAAATTCACGACCTCCTTAATGGCCTAATGAACTACACACTGTATACTATACATGTAGGTAAGGATAGCCTAAAGAAGAAATTTTAATTGAAAATGAAACAAACGTCACGTTCAGCAATTACACATTCGCCATATCTTAACTCTCCGTACTAGTTTTATGATTTAAAAAACAAGGACCAGCTATTAGAAGCGGAGGTGTTAAGTGTTAGACGCCAGGCCAGACTGAATGCCCGTGCCTGTACCTCTGGGTAGACTCTTAACTGTTGTTAGCTCAAGATTCTCTTATTTTATTACTAAAATCCCTTAAACTCCAAATTCACAGAAATGCAATTCCATTGCCCGCAATTAGCAGGTTACGCAAGCAAAATAATGAAATTTAATCTTTCCTAAGGCCTTAACTATATTTTACCATTGAGTTTTAAAATGAATATAAGCAGAAGTTACTACATAAGTTACTGTCACAATTTGTGTACATAAATAATGCAAGTCGGCACAGGGATCGGTGCAAAATGGAATAAAGTTATATTTAGTTAAAAATTAATGATCTTCAATATACGAAACTTCAAAATCTTTGATTTTTAGAGATTGATGGAAATTGCAGTTATTTTTAAAACTAAAAAGAACATACGACTTATTATCATCAATATGATTGTTGAACATACTAACTTACCATTGTTTTTTGTCTGTTGACCGTGGAACTGCTGGAAGATTATCTTTATAATTAAACTCCTAATTCACTTCGCCTCACTTTGACTTAATGAGCGTCCGTGAGAGATGATCTTTGATGTGAAAAACGCCTCCTAAATATACCTGCATATATATGTTATCTATGATATGTATATGAGGCCACTATGAATCACATAACGTGGTCATATCTATACATACAACTATGACACATATAAATATGTATATAGCCAGATTTATTTAACATGGTTTATCATAATTTTGATATTACAGTCAAACCTTTGAAAATAGGCCATTGAAAAGAGAGAAAGAACATGGCCTTTAAAGACAAGCGGTCTTTATTTGGAGGTAATATAATCTTATTAGTTAATGAACATTTTTTTTAAAGAGTGGTCTTTATTCACAAGGTGGTCTGTATTCTGAGATGATCTTTAAGACAGGTTTGACAGTAGTTCTTCGATTAATTTCTTACGAAGAATGACCTGGTACCGAAAAATATATGACGAGGTTGATAGCTCTAGCACCTATATTTCATAAATTATCTCCCCTTTCAAATTAGAAAAATTGCTATCATATTGTTCATTTCCTTATTTAATCTTTTTTGTTACTATAGATAGGAAAAGAACTTTCCTGGCTTAAATACGATGTTCTTATCATCGCTGACATCTTAAATGACGGGCAGTTAACTTTCAGCTACAATCATTTCAAAATTATCTCCCCTTTGAACTACTGACGCTTGTCCTAAAATTGTTCGAATTTTTACCGTGTTGTCTCATTACTTCAAACGCTAAATACACGTAGAACTTTACTCTTCCTCATATTTGACATGGTTCATTAATCACGAACCTATTTCAAGAATTACCCCCCTTTAAATTAAAAAAAAATTATGTGTAAATTTGATATTATTCAAACATTGTCTTTCTTTATATAAATGTAGTTGTTCTTTATCAAGAGACTTATTATAACAGACTATGTTCATAGCTCGATCTAGTGCCTATACTTTAAGAACTCACTACATGTTTACTTAAAATTATGTAAGGGATATCTTTTTTTCCTTTGCAGCAGAGACATTCCGTATTGATATTTTATGTTACATTTTCATTTATATGTATGCTATATTTGATAATGACTTTGAGAATTTGAGTTTTACTTGAAATTGATGATAAGATAAAGTTAATTTCTTTGCTTTCTTCTTTCTGTACTATCAAGTATTATAGGGTTATTATACATTGTAAAGAATGAGTACACAGCTGTTAACCTATATTGGACGAGGTGCTAGCCAAACCTGATACATGTTTAGCGACAATGTACAAGTCCAAAGAGATCAGTATTGATCTCAACCATGTGTAATGACCTTTTTACTTCAAACCACAGAACTTTGTTAATTCAATAATAATAATAATTTGATACGGATTTTGGACTCTCAAAAGTGAAAACGAGGCTAGATGACGAGGCTGAATTTTTGGACTCTGCATGGAGATGAAAACGAGGCAGTATGGGATGTGATATAGATTTGATATTGACTTTTTGACTCTGGAAGTGAAAACGATACTAAATTGATAAGATTGGACCCAATTGATTTTTTTTACAACATCAAGCAGTGCAAATGATCTTGATTATGAGGACTCGTTCAATTAGCAGAACACAGTAAGAGTTTAGGGAATGACGTTATTTAAAGGTTATTTCTATTCTTTAAACTGGGGCCTACTTAATTCACATAAATACTGATGAAATTACCTACCCTACCTGGACTAAAAAGGATATTTTTGGAAACAATAGACGCTCTACTATAATGTATTAAAGGGGCGTATAGCTTTGTAAACAACCAATGGACAAAAAAGTTGGTGCTAATAGACATATGTACTCCTTTGAACTTTAGATTTCTATGAAATTTCGGTGGTTGCTGAGAAATAGCTAGCAAGGTGACCAAAATTTCAAAACAGACAGACGGATGGTTCTAATTAATATGAGAACTTATGACGTAACTCTATTGTCTACCACTATTGTCCTTTAAATTAAGCCACGTAAACGATAAAGACCGTACAGAATGAACAGCAAGGAATGCATGCTAACTACATTGTATCATTCCCACAGAAACCTTACCATCCGTTATACGTACAGACGGACAAATACACACGGACAAAGCAGAGTCTACATAAATCCCCGTAGTGGAGAATGAAAAAAAGAAATCAAATTATTCTAAAATAATGAAAAAGTCGAATGAGTTTATCACAATGGTTTACTTCCAATTAAATAACAAACCTTAACAATATTATATTTTATTTCATATTTAGTCACTCAATATTTTATAACTCATACTTATTTACACAACAAAAATGTCGGAACTAATGAGGCTGAACTGTTAACAAATTAATAAATTAAATAAATCTGTCAATATCTCAATCCTTAACATGTGCAAAACATCTGCATTCTAAATTTATAGAGAATAAATATAACGTAATTTACAAAACAAAATAAATAAACAATTTGATAATAAATTAATTTGTTTTCTATATTTAATGTAATAGTAAATATTACGAAACAATGTGGACAATCAATACATGTAACAAAGTCTTATATCATATTCAAATGGATTTAACATTTTTTTCAAAGAAAAATACACAGTTATATAAGTCAATTAAATTCACGAATTAAGTTCAGCTTAGACTAATACTTATAAACAAGACTAAAGTTTATGATATGAAAGTTGTTATTATAAAACAAACACAATTTATTTAATTTGGACATTTATCCAAAGTCTTAACCCGTTTTTCATGAAACAAATGAGCTGTGCCATGACAAAACCAACGTTATGGGTTTGCGACCAGCATGGATCCAGACCAGCCTTCGCATCCGTGCAGTCTGATCAGGATCCATGCTGTTCGCTTACATAGCTTACAAACCCTATAACAAGAAGAGAAACTGATAGTGAACATCATGGATCCTGATCAGACTGTGCGGATGCGCAGGCTGGTCTGGATCCATGCTGGTCGCAACCAATTATGCTGGTTTTGTCATGGCACGACTCAAATCAAAATTCTAGAATTTAAATTTCTTTAAACATCATGATAAATTGAAAGCAGTATAATCAACAGTGAGAAAAGATGTTATCTGGAACTCGAAAAAATGTGGGTTTTCCCCCACTACATGAAAATCTGGGTACAGACACAATTTTCAAACCTTCTCAATGAAGTGGACAATGCCTTATTGCAGCATTATTATCACTACATTTATTCAAATGGAGTTATAACCTAATGCCTTCTATAAATACTATTTGAGCCGCGTCATGACAAAACCAACATCGCGTCATGACAAAACCAACATAATGGGTTTGCGACCAGCATGGATCCAGACCAGCCTGCGCATCCGCGCAGTCTGATCAGGATCCATGCTTTTCTCTATCAGTTTCTCGTCTTGTTATATGGTTCATAAGCGAACAGCATGGATCCTGATCAGACTGTGCAGGCTGGTCTGGATCCATGCTGGTCGCAAACCCATTATGTTGGTTTTGTCATGACGCGGCTCATTTCCTTATTTTCAACTGTTGAATTGAACCGCTGAAATCCTGTGCATGCACAATGATGAAATGAACTTTTGACGACTCAACATTTTTAACTGTTACACCTCTTCGGCCTTTGGCAACAGTTCCAGATGTTATCCCCGATACCTCAGGGCAATACCCATGAAATAACTGTATACTAATAAAGTTTGTTTGTGTCTGTACCCCCGCATTAGCTGGGATTTTTTTTTACAAATTTGCCGAGTTCTGGAGTACATGTATCTCTGTTGACAACACTGACTTGTGGAGAAAACATTTTATTTTAGAATGTGGAGAAACTTCTAAAAAAATCAACAAAAATACATGATAAAAATATAACAAAATTAAATCAATACATCAAAGATAACTTGATACTTCAAACCATTTAGACTTAGAAAAAACAATTAAAATGATGAACAAATAACTTTATTAAACAAATCCAATTCTAGCAACTTCAATCAGAAATTAAATAAGCCAGATATCAAATCGAAATTGTTGGAGTTATGATAAGTAGAAATCACATAAATGATAACTTTTGCTGATCATTTGACTTGGTTGCGTTTCATGGAAAGTTCAAAGTCTTAAGAACAAAACTGAGAAATTTTTCTTTCAAAGAAAATGACCTTACTTGTTGAGATCATCAATCTCTGAATACAGATGCTGAATGAACATTTGAGCCATGTCATGACAAAACCAACATAATGCATTTGCGACCAGCATGGATCCAGACCAGCCTGCGCATCCGCGCAGTCTGATCAGGATCCATGCTGTTCGCTATCAGTTTCTCTACTTGTTACAGGGTTTGTAAGCGAACTGCATGGATCCTGATCAGACTGCACGGATGTGCAGGCTGGTCTGGATCCATACTGGTCGCAAACGCATTATGTTGGTTTTGTCATGACGCGGCTCATTTACACATTGCGGATTGAAGTGTATACCATCGTATTTGTAACTTTTCTCAGGGGAATGACTTAAATAAAAGTCTAAAAACTTTTACTAATGATGTAAATATTTATTTAAATGGTTTTTAGTTAGTCCTAATTGTTTTCGTAAGTCCTAGGACTTCAGATATTTTGCACTAAGGACTTTCTATAAAATGCAACCAAGTTCCCTATGAGCATTATAGTTACTTTAAGATCTACAAATACTATACAATTCAATAATAACAAGCAATTATCATAGTATTGCAAGCAATACATAAGTCCCCTACCGGTTAGAACCCCAGCAACATTCTGAAGGGCCATTGGCCATTATCTTATGTTTCTATTTTAAGTAAATTTGTTGAAAAAGTTCTTTAAAAGTGATCACAGGAAACAGTTTTTATGTACAGACAGACAGACGGACTGAAGGACATTCTAAAGTTATTTTTTAAACATCCCTGTTATCAAAATATAACATTTTTAAAAGCAAAATTTTTAAAAAGGAGATAACTCTTGAAATAAAGATGCAAGATGTCATACATGATGTGAGTGTAACAAAGAACAATTAGTAATTAAGGTATGAATAATGAATGTTTATTTTGAATTTGAAGTAAATGAAAGTTAAAAGAACGAATAGGAAAAATTAAAAGTTTAAGGAGAAGATTATTCTGGAAATATGGATGCTAGATTTATAAACCTTGTCATAATTATTATTATGATGTGGGAGTTTGAAGAAAATCCTATCATGATTGAAGAAGTTGGAGTAAAAATTACCAATTTCTCAAAACAAGAGGGCCATGATGGCCCTGAGGTCGCTCACCTGTATATAGCCCCCCCCACACACACACACATAAGAAGATGTTTCATGCTAAACATCTAAGCTCTAGCTCATTGGGCTTTTTAAAAGAAGATTTTTTAAGTTCTTACTATACACATATAGTTAAAAACAATGACACCCCTGGGGCGGGGCCAGTTTTGACCCCAGGGCTTTTATTTGAACAAACTTGAACTTGAACACACTTACTAGAAGATGTTTCATGCTTAATATCTAAACTCTAGCTATTTGGGTTTTTTCAAAGAAGATTTTAAGTTTTTGCTATACACTAAGTTTTTGCTATACACAAATAAGGAAAATCAATGACCCCTGGGGCGGGGCCAATTTTGACTCCAGGGCTTTTATTTGAACAAACTTTGTAGACACTTACTAGAAGATGTTTCATGTTTAATATCTAAACTCTAGCTATTTGGGTTTTTTCAAAAATTTTTTTTTAAGTTTTTGCTATACACATATAAGGAAAATCAATGACCCCCGGGGCGGGGCCAATTTTGACCCCAGGGCTTTTATTTGAACAAACTTGGTAGACACCTATTAGAACATGTTTGATGCTAAATATCTTAGCTCTAGCTCTTTGAGTTCTTTAAAAGAAAATTTTTTAAGTTTTTACTACACACATATAATGAAAAACAATGATCTACTCCCCCCCCCTGTCAGGGCCAATTTTAATCCAGGGGCTTTTATTTGCACAAACTTGGTAGACACCAATAAGAAGATGTTTCATGGTAAACATCTAAGCTCTAGCTCATTGGGTTTTTTAAAAGAAGATTTTTTAAGTTTTTACTATACACATATAGTTAAAAACAATGACACCCCTGGGGTGGGGCCAGTTTTGACCCCAGGGCTTTTATTTGAACAAACTTTGTAGACACTCACTAGAAGATGTTTCATGCTAAATATCTAAATTCCAGCTATTTGGGTTTTTTCAAAGAAGATTTTAAGTTTTTGCTATACACATATAAGGAAAATCAATGACCCCCGGGGCGGGGCCAATTTTGACCCCAGGGCTTTTATTTGAACAAACTTGGTAGACACCTATTAGAACATGTTTGATGCTAAATATCTTAGCTCCAGCTCTTTTGAGTTCTTTAAAAGAAGATTTTTTAAGTTTTTACTATATGCATATAGGGAAAATCAATGACCCCCTGGGGCGGGGCCAATTTTGACCCCAGGGCTTTTATTTGAACAAATTTGGTAGACACTCATTAGAACATGTTTCATGCTAAATATCTTAGGTCTAGCTCTTTGGGTTCTTTAAAAGAAGATTTTTTAAGTTTCTACTATATGCATATAGGGAAAATCAATGACCCCCTGGGGCGGGGCCAATTTTAACCCCAGGGCTTTTATTTGAACAAACTTGGTAGACACTTACTAGAAGATGTGTCATGCCAAATATCTAAGCTGTAGCTCTTAGGGTTTTTTAAAAGAAGATATTTAAAGTTTTTTCTTTCGGTTGCCATGGCAACCAAAGTTCTGCATGGAATTAAATTAATGTGAACAATTTTTAAAGGTGACCACCAGAGGAACATTCCTGTGAAGTTTGGATGAAATTGGCCTAATGGTTTATGAGGAGATGTCATTTAAAGTAAAAGTTTACGGACGGACGACGGACGACGGCCGGACGCCGGACGAAAAGCGATCACAAAAGCTCACCCTGTCACTTTGTGACAGGTGAGCTAAAAAGTCTAAGTACAAAAAGGGGCATAATTCTGGAAATAGTTAGGGAGGTAATTCTGATAAATTTTGTCCTAGAGTTATAAACATTGTCACATATGATGTGGTTGATGACTAGCAACTTATATTTAAAGTTTGAAGAAAATACCTTAAGAAATAAAGAACTTGTAGTGAAAAAACTTAAAAACTAGAATCAGAAATCTTGAAATTCAGTCTATTTGTTGCCATAGCAACCAGAATTTTCAACATAGGAAGATAAGAAAAGGATGTTCATAATTTCTATACTGCAATCTACCCATATGTCAAGTTTCATAAAAAATATTTTCAATACTTTTAGCGTTATCACTGGATCCAGGTTATGTGTAAAATTTGCCATATTTTCAGTCTATTTGTTGCCATAGCAACCACAATTTTCAACATAGGAAAAAAAGAAAACAACGTGCATAATCTCCATAATGCCATCTATCCATATATCAAGTTTCATAAAAATATTGTCAGTACTTTTTGTGTTATCGCAGGATCCAGGTTATGTGTAAAATTTGCCATATTTTCAGTCTATTTGTTGCCATAGCAACCAGAATTTTCAGCATAGGAAAAAAAGAAAACAACGTGCAAAATCTACATACTGCCATCTATCTACATATTAAGTTTCATTAAAATATTTTCAGTACTTTTTGTGTTATCGCGGGATCCAGGTTATGTGTAAAATTTGTCATATTTTCAGTCTATTTGTTGCCATAGCAACCAGAATTTTCAACATAGGAAGAAAAGAAAAAGACGTGCATAATCTCCATACTGCCATCTATCCATATATCAAGTTTCATTAAAATATTTTCAGTACTTTTTGCGTTATCGCGGGATCCAGTTTTGTGGACTGACGGACTGACGGACGGACAGACGGACGGAGGGTAAACCTAAAGTCTCCTCCGGTAAACCGGTAGGGGACTAATAAAATATGACAATAAGCAATAAGGCAAGAAACGAGTGACTATCATTTTGTGAAAAAAGTAGACTCAAATTCATGAAGCTCTCTAAGTGCATTCATATGATACAAGTATATATGATAAAGTTGTGTCCCTTGATTAGCTTCAGGTAAACTATTTATTTATATATACAAAAAATGAAAATACAATATCTTAATTGGATTAATTTTGAGAGCACTTATCACACACAATTATTGCACGGTTATGGAATTCACATGACAACCTAAGACGAAAAAATGAGGACAATCCTCACCAAAGGCCACAATAATGTCTTGTCCAGATATTTTTTTTCAAGAATGATAAAGATCTTTATTTTGGCTTTGACAAAAATGTTGATTATGTACATGTAGTTTTTAAAAGAACAAAAGCAGAAAAACACAGACACATGGATGGAAAAGACAATTTCTAAAGGGATGTGAGGGTTGTCCTTTTTTTTATTATCATAATTACCTCCCTTAACATCAAATTAAAGTTTACTCTGGCTAAACATTAAGCAAATTTCAACAAGATTATACTGTAAAAACGATTTTATACATGTTGCTTGTTGTATATATACATGCATTCTTTTAATCATTTATATTGACTGTTTTATAAAATTTATTTACAAGCACATATTTTTTTAACAATTGTGTTTCAACCAATATCCTTTTAAGTGTTAGGATTAGAACGCTATCTCCAAAGCAATCATTGCCTCTTTTATGTTTCTTTTCAATTCATTTACAATACTATAAAAGGTTGTTACTAACACCTTATAGGTAACCAAATCTTTTGTTATGTAATATGGTTCATACAATTATGTAGAGCTTGGACAGCAATGAACCAACATGACATAACAAAAGAGAAGATTTGGTTACCAGTATTAAAAGGTGTTTACAAATAACATAAAAAGAAAGAAACATGTATAAACTCGTAGTTACAATACAATCCTGCCAGTATTACATGTATAATGATTTAATCCTATAAATTGATAATAAACTTTTTAAAATCATAAGGTAAATTTTTGTCTCAAAATTGGTAATAATTGTCAATTTTATTATACTGTAACAGCAATCTTTCACCTTTAAACACCTGCTTTTTGTGTAATAAATTTGCCCAGCATTGAAATTGGAACAGTCTATTCAAAGTTAAAGGGATTTCAATAACAAAATATAAAAACTGTGCTATCAAAATTACAGTCAGTCAGTCTTGTCTGACTTCAAAAATATGCTCTATAAATAATAATGTACTGGTGGAAAAAGGCTACTTACATTGTATTTCCTGAGTGAAAGTTTTAGGCAAAATTTGTGATATGAATCATATTTTACAGTTAATTAAATAAATCATGTTTTGAATCAATTATAGAATGTACTGAATCAATGTCATTCTCAAGAAGTAAAATAAAGTTTCATTTTCATTTTGGCGGTGTATGTACAAACATTATCAGGGAGTAAAAAAAACCCACATAATTATAGCAGTTGCTTTTTCTTGAAATAAAATAACCAGTATGTTTTCTTATATAAATACGAGTAAATTAAATAATTAATTTAGTATTTATTAGTTAATTAATTAAGTACTAATAGTCTAATTAGTTAATTAATTAAGGCTTTCTCAATTGCAAAAAAAAATCAGAAGATTTAATAATTCTGTCAGAAGCCAATTCTAAAATATTTAAGCAAATTTACCACTTTACTGACAAAATCGAAGGTCGACCAATAATACAGCATATACAGTGAGAAAAAAAACAATGTTCTTATTTTCATACCATTGTATTCAATGGTTGGCCATCATCTCATACACATTTATTACATCCAAAATTTGACTGAGTGATAAAATGTACAAGAAATTACTACATATTACATACATACATCACAGTTCAGATAGAGAAATCACAGAGAGAAACACAAATCAATCAACAATAAAAACATTAGCCAGTTGTTTTTTTACATATGAGCCATGTCACGACAAAACCAACATAATGGGTTTGCGACCAGCTTGGATCCAGACCAGCCTGCCATCTGTGCTGTTCACTTAAAAACCCTATTGCAGGTAGAGAAACTGATAGCGAACAGCATGGATCCTGATCAGACTGTGCGGATGTGCAGGCTGGTCTGGATCCATGCTGATCGCAAACCCATTTTGTTGGTTTTGTCATGTCGCGGCTCATATTTATGTACAACATCAAAATATCATCAAAATAACAAAAGACCCGAGTCCTATCCTTAACAACAATGGTTAAAGAAAACAACTTATCTCGTATTTAATCATTATTTAATCAGTCAAGTTCAAGTATTCTGCCATAATTTCTAATACCATTAATACTATAAAAACAATGAAGTTCTTACATTTTTGTTTTGCAGGTACAACTTACTGTTTGCTTTAATCCTAAGATTATGCAAAATCAAACCATGAATTTATTTGTTAATGTCCTTTCGCCCCACACAATAATATATATACATGTAAAATTTATCAAAGTCCCATCCATCCTTCTTTGGATTTCATTTATAATGTTACACAAAGATGACACATGTATGATTCAAACATGTGTCAAAGTTGGACAATTTTAAATGTTTTTTTCTGTTTGGTTTTTACATCAAACCGACACAGTATAAGTCACATAATTTATGTCCACTTTCCAGCTGTACTCAGGTTGAGTAAGATGTCAGGTGCCATTTTGTGCATTAATAATTATTCTAGACACAAACAGCCACCTGAGTACAACCACCAACATTCCATAAGTTAGCTGCATAGCTTCCTCACATGAAAGAATCCAAAGTCCCTGTCAATATTCGAAACGCACAGTGGTGTGTGGCAAGTGGATTGAAGTAAACAACCTTAACCACCCTGCCACAGATGCCCCAAATTTTAAATAAATACTAATTATTAATTAATTCTACTAACTTTTCTTATATTGTCCAAGACCTGTCTTTAAGACCCAGCCAAAACAATAGTAAGAACTTGTGGAACAGCTTGACAGGTGCCCTCTCAAAACAGGGACATTTAACTGAATATACTTTTGTATGATTTTTTGTTTTGTTCGGTTTTATCATCTGCAACAACATAATTTAGGTCATATTGCGCCAAAACAGGAAAGATGAATTTGGCTAACCTCGGGTGTTACAAACTTTAAGCAACACCAGGGGTCAGTACCACCTCACCTGCTGGAACTTAGAGATGCAAAGACTTCTATGAAAATGAGAATTTTAGAATTCAAACTACATAAAGCTGACCCTGAGAGGCAAATGAGCACTTTTCAATATGATAGAATGTATTTCAAAAATAGAAAATATTGAAAATTCCACTAAAATATTTAGAGCTTACTTAGAAAATACTCTATGTTGTTATTAATATGATATAATTTGACGTCAAATTAAATATTTTCACTTTTAGAATTTGCAATCTTTTGAAAAGTTCATCAGTTTTTAACTAAAACTTGAGATGTGCTTTTATATTTGGTTGAAAAAGAAAATACATGAAATTATGCACTGTTCAATACAATATCAAAATTTATGAACATTATTCAATGTAATTTACATGTATAAAACATTGAAAGATAAAAAATATTTTACAAAATAATGTTTTTCTTCTCACACCAAAATTTCACATGTACAATTTCCACATCATTTTCATATGCAAAAAAAAATACTGGTTTTTGTTTTGTCACAGTTTTAACAACCTGACTTTCAAAATACTTCCACATAGCACTATAATTAATTAAAAGCTTATAATTCTAATAATAGAACAAAATCAGTACATTTGTTACTCATATTTACCATCTGACCTTCAACCTCATATCTTGTTTCAAGGTCTCTTAGCCATCATAACTTCCCTTGCAAGACATTGACACAACAAAAGGTCGATCAGCTCCTGCTCTTAGACATCATTGCTAAATATTAACCTTTGACCTTAAATTTGTGGCCTTGACCTTACGAGTTTCATGTTTCTTCAGCTTCCCTTACTTGGCCGATCAACTAAGAAATAAGTCACCATTTCTCCTTTCCCTTTTACTGTAACCATACCCCGGCATTCCAGCATGTATCCCAGAGGTTCAAGAATATTGTACATGTCCTGTGTTACCTGTAAAGAGAAATGTTTATCTCAATAAATAACAGATTTTTTTGATTTTTTACTAGTTCAATAAATTGCAGCCTATATCTTAATAAACTGAAGTATCTTTCTCAATAAATTGAAGTGCTTTTTTCAATAAATTACAGTATCTATCGATAAAAATTGCAGTATTAATCTCAACAAATTGAAGTGTTTATGTCAATAAACTGCAGTGTTTATTTCATTAAATTGCATTGTTTATCTCATTAAATTGCAGTGTTTATTTCCATAAATTGCAATGTTTAATATCACACTACATGTATTTAGATATTAATTGACATCATTTTCTAAATTTGCTAGTTGCTATTAGAATACTGGATGTTCTAATTCTCAAAGACGTATCCATGACATAGATAATCAACCCTTCATCCCTTGAATTTCTAACATAGACTTGTCCAGCTTCCACTGTTTGGAACTGTCTATTATCAATTTTGGGGATGTCAAGACGAAAATTTTAAGTCAGCAAATGAGTTTAGAGCCTCAGGTCAGACTGTATGGATGTGTTGGCTGGCCTGGCTCTATACTGGTGCCTAAGGCTGATCATTTTAGGTTTGAGTAGAGGTAAAGTTAACATTATCACACCTGTATACAGTCAGATACACCTGTACTGTCCATCCTGCTAGCCACATTCACTGTATTACCCCATATATCATAGTGAGGCTTCTTGGCTCCTATAACACCTGCCACAGCTGGACCCACATTCATTCCTGAAAACAATTACCTTAAATATATTCAGGCTTTATAATATATGAAAAAGTCATCTCTGACATTGTGGGTCACACCAAAAAAAACAACAAAAAAACCCAGCACATCTTGAATACTTGAATGGTCTATTTTGTATATTTGTGAGTATATTATTAAGGAATTCCGATTTGTTTGTATGATTTTGTATGTTTTCCTTTATTGTATTCATTATGCAATACGACTTATAATGATTGAAGACAATCATTTTTATAAGGACAGGTGATGTGTAACATAGCATTTCCTTGGTCAAAATGCTTTTATTGCATTAATTATTAAAACCTCAATAATTTCAATATTTAAAGTTTTAACAGTCATAAAAAGAATTTCCTGTCTATAAATATTTTGATATAAATAACTTTTAATCTTAAGTAATTTATTTCTTCACAGTGATGGAAAGTTATAAATATAGAATAAAGATATATATTGTCCATATATATAAAGTTTCACAGCTAGCACCTGAATTTGCCTAAGTTATTTTTTCTTATATATTTTCAAAGTTAAGACTACAACCATTAATATACATCCAAAGTTAATAATAAGACTTCTTCAAAAAATTATTCATAAGACTAATTCAATATATGAAAATTAGTAAAATAAATTGAGAAAATGTTGTCATAGTATTAAATTAAGCTTTAAGCTAATTATTAGCAATAAATGCCATAAGAGTATCATGTAATGCTTGTTAACTTAGATAAATAGACTTGGAATTAGATAATCTGCCTTAATAAAGCCATAAAGAATTAAAATAAAAAGGTGAAAATATTTCCTTTTGACCACTATATATATGACATGTTTACACTGGAATAAATCAGTTGAGTTTGTTTGATTGGGTTTTACATCATACCGACACAGTAAAGGTCATACTGTATATGGTGTTTTTCCAGCTTTACTGGTGAAGGAAGACGTCAGGTGCCCTTCCGTGAATTATTTCAAGCACAAACAGGCACCTGTGTATAGAATCTAAAAATTATTTATATAAAAATATTTATGTAACATGATACTTAAGTGTCAAGCTTGCATACCTATCCTCATTTTAAAATTATTGAAGGAGTGTTCATTAACACTTCTCAGCTGTTCCTGTATTGAAAAAGCGTACTCAGTCAGGGCCACTACATGACTCATATCATTAAAGCTGGTTTCAGGTGTGAGCCCACTGGCTGCCATGTATGTGTAGCCAATAGTCTTGATCTTTTCTATACATTTGAATTTCCTTTCCTCCAAAATCTGCAATACATTTCAAATCATTTCATACATCTAATAATTATCAGAGACGGTAACTTGGCTCTATGCTGGTGACACAATCACAGCAATAATAACTGTAAGTAAACTTAATAAACTTGATACTATATAAAGAAATAAAATTGCCTATGATTTCAACTGATTATGAGTGTCGAATGACCAATTATTTAAGTTTGTGGCCCAAAGCGGAAAACTCAAAATCAGTCCATTGAACAATATATTGTCTGAGTATGTGCACAAAATGAAACAATGACGTTACATTTAACGTCATTAAAACAACGAGCTGTAAAAGTTAAAGTAAGTTTTAAGCACAAATTAATGAAAGAAATATCAAATTAATTTTTAAAAATGCTACTAAATTATATCTAATCAAGTGTATTAAAGACATTAATACATGTCAAAGATGGCCCAGAAAGTAATAATCGGCCCTGAAATGAATAAATTGTCCTTCCAGGGCATTATTCATTTTGCTGGCCAATTTTCATCTTTACGGACCTACTCTGCTGGTATTTATCTCTTGATTTCAATGGTTTTAAAAAATTTATTCTAAAAATAACAAAACATCATCTAATCTAAAAAATTTAATTGTTTCTGAGCCATTACTTTTTGTACTTGATTAGATAAAGGTACTCTCAACAACTTAGCTAATCTTAAAAATCTCAGCAATTGAAGTTCTTCTTTTATAATACATTATTTTATATTGTTCAGTATTGTCAATAATCTAATGCCGAAAATTTTGAAAATATAACATATTCCAGAAATAACCCATTTGCTACGATATTGGCTGATGTTACAATTTGTTTTGTGGTGGGAAAGAATTACAGTAAGACTACCTTAAAGTAGGTCATGTATAAATACAAATGTACTACCTCATCAAAGTCTGCTATAATCTCATTTAAGAGCCTGAGACATTCTACTCCCTCGTTGTTGCCTTCCAATTCAATGTAAAACTCTGAGAAATTTGTGATAGATGCAAACATTACACAGGTACATTCACTGTCACTGTAGTACATATCCTGAAATAAATGTACAGTGTACAATGGGCAAAATTATGATGTACACATATCCTGAAATAAATGTTCAGTGTACAGTGGCAAAATCATGAAGTACACATATCCTGAAATAGATGTACAGTGTACAATGGGCAAAATTATGATGTACACAACAAAATAAATGTACAGTGTACAATGGACAAAATCATGAAGTAGACATATCCTGAAATATATGTAAAGTGTACAATTGGCAAAATTATTATGAACACATTATGAAATAAATGTACAGTGTACAATTAGCAAAATTATGATGTACACATATCCTGAAATAAATGTACAATGGGCAAAGTTATGATGTACACATATCATGAAATAAATGTACAGTGTACAATAATTAATGTACAATGGGCAAAACTATTATGTACACATATTCTGAAATTAATGTACAGTGTATAATGGTCAAAATTATGATGTACACATATCATGAAATAAATAAACAGTGAACAATGGGCAAAATCTGTGTACAATCCTTTTAAGCTTTTGAAAATTCAGTTGAGTTCTTGTAAAAAGAAAATTTGCAATTTGCAAACATTTCAAAAAAATTTACAAAAAAATTTACAAAACACAATAGTTTATTAACAAAATGCATTTAGTTTACTACAAACCTCCTCTTTATTTCCTCGTTTGAGGAAATGTTGAGCAACATGTAGTGGTAATATATTGGCAACTAGTTTCAGATTGTAAGCTCTCAAACTCTCCATCTCCTCTTTCTCTTCTGTTGCCTGAAATCATAACCCCATTTATCACATAACCTTGCTTATTTTGGGGCTCCTTAATGCTCAGGTATTGCACACCCATGCATATATTTTAATGTGACGTCATTAACGTTATTTATCACAAACCCATGCCGATTTTGCAGCTCCGTAAAACTGGTATTGCACGGTCATGCATATATTTTGACGTCACTTCATTAATGTTTTTTTATTACATACCCGTGCCAATGTTGCGGCTCCGAAAAAATGATATTGCCTTGCCATGCATATATTTTGATGTGACATCATTTTTTTTTCATATAAACATAGCGTTAAGATGCGCTATTAATGTAAACGTTATTTTACAAGCGCATCAATGAAAATGTTTCTTTATCACTTAAAATGGTCTTTATTTTGGGTATGTGATAAATAGAATATTAAATTTGTGTAAGTTCATTACTACATTTATTGGAACCATTCAATAGAAAAATATTTATAATGCTCGCCAGAGGCACACATAATATAATTTTAATCAACTTGTTCAATAAATTCAGTATTAAACTGACACTCATTCAATATCCTCTTTATGTCAAATACACACACAAATTTTATGGTTACGGTTCATACAGAATTTATTGTTGTTTCATTAGTTCAAACATATTTTAGTTGTCAGAAAATAATATACACACATTACAATTTACAATATACACAAAGCAATTCTTTAATATTCTTATATATATGATAAGAATGAAAGACAAAGTGTATTGTGAAATTTTTTCTCCTTTTAATTGATTGTGTTACAGGAAGCTTATATAAGCTATAATAGACACACTTTTGAATCAGGACTAAAAACCTTGGACTCTGACAAATCCATTTGGCAGATCTAACAACTGAGTTATATTACCACTATATATAACACATATTCACCAATATTAGTCAACAGTTCTATACAGTGACAAATGAAAGTCCTAAATTCAACTGAAATCTTTTATTCAATCACAAAATACAAAATTTTAGCTACCAATAATTACAGAGTGAGATCAGACATGCATATACATGCTGACTTTGCTCTATTGTAGGCAATTTTAAGGTACATTTTTATTGTATCTTTAATGATCATAAAATGATAACCATGAGCTATACCTGAACTTTCCACAGGAAGTCTAGCCTAGCTGTAGACTCCACTTGTTGAGCATGGATGAACAGTATAAAAGTGAACACAATAAGTATTACTATTGTCTCCCATTTCTGTGGAATATTAGTTGTTGGCTCACCCATCTCTTTCC